AAGGAGGGACTGGTCCTTGGAGAGGGACATCATGTTTGGGAGAGTGGAAGGACAGCGCGCAGGAGAGGAAGACCATAGATGAGATGGATCAATTCCGTGAATGGAGTGGTGGGAATGAATGTGTTTGAGACAGTGAGGTTGGCACAGGATAGAATGGCATTTAGGGCTCTTGTACGTAGGGTTGCTATGAGTCACACACGACTTGATGGCACATAACAACAACAAACAACAACTAGAGATGCCTGTGGAAATGGTCTGAGAACTTACACTGTGAGAGGAACAGATTCCCCCACAGGTGAGCTCATAGCTGACTAGGCAAGACATCCATGAAGCCACATGATCTGAAAAGCACACTTACTCAATTTGCTAGTCATTATTTTAAAATATTGTCTTCCCATCTACAAACATACAAAATTACACAGGAACCTGGGTTTTTGTTTTTTTTTTTCTTTTTGGAGGGGTGTTGATTGTTGGTGTTTTTTGGGGGGCGAGGGGACACCTGCAGTTCCTTTGGAACATGAAGTGTGTCTATTTTTTCTTGAGTGAATTTTATTTTAATCTCTTCCAAAATGATTTTGCTGGGAGGCACAATTTATCAATATATGAATTTTTATATTTGCTTCATTTAAGTTTGGTATTAACTTTCAGTTCAGAAAAGGTTCATCTGTGGAAAAAATTTTTGCAGCTTTGGTCAATGCACTTTTCCCTTAGAATTTCCCAGTAGATACATTTTATATGGGTTTTTCACCCTGGGCCTCTTTCAAGGAAAAGGTAACATTCATGGTTTGATGGCCAGAATTCCAGAATTGAAGGAGCCGTGGTGACACAGCTGACTAAGCATACTGCTAATTGTAAAGTCAGTGGTTCGAATCCACCAACTGCTTCACGGGAGAAACATGAAATAGTCTATTTCTGTGATGATTTACAGCCTTCGAAACCTGTGGGCAAATTCTACTCTGTCCCACAGTCTCCATGTGATGAAGATTATTAGACATCAGTGTGATTTTGTTGAAACTTGGTCTCTTTAGACATGCTCTCAAGAGAGGCCAGTTCAACAGTCCAATGGTGAGTAATTTTGTAAAGCACAATGTATGGGAATGATTCCTTGTAGGGAACCATAATGTCGGTGAAGGTCAGTGGGGAAAGTAAAAAATAATTAGCAAAAGAAAAAGAAGAGAGGCTGGTTCTTGGAAAGAGACGTCATTTTCAGAAAGGTAGAAGGTAGGTGGAAGAGAAAAGTATTCACAAGAGGGATTGAGGCTGTGACTAATGATGGGTGTGAACACGCCAGAGACCATGGAAGACAATGCAGACTGGGACAAGGTTCAGATCTTTTGTTCATAGCGTCACTCTGAGCTGTAATTGACTCAACAGCACCTAACAACAATAACAGCAGCCAAGTGCTCAGCTTGTAGCCATGATATCAGTGGTTCAGGCCCACATGTAGGAGATGATATGGCATGTTACTTCTTTCCCACCCCTTCTTCTTTATTATTATTATTCATTTATTTTTATTATATT